AACCCTGAACCCTGAAACCCTAAGCCCCTTAAACTCTAAACCCTCTTGGCACCCTAAACCCTAAAACCCTTAAAACCCCTAAACCCTAAATCCCTAAACCCTAAATCCCTAAATCCCTAAAACCCCTAAACCCTAAAACCCGAAACCCTAAAACCCTAAAACCTAAACCCAAAACCCTAAACCCTAAAACCCTAGACCCCGAGGTACGGCCTGCTCACCGAGCAGGAGTTGCAGCAGCCTGAAAATCAGAAGGCGCCACGCCCTGGAAATTTTTATGTTTCATTGGGACCCTAAACCCTAAACCCTACACCCCCGGGCGTAGGGTTTAGGATTGAGTCTTGGTTCATGCACGGCATGCACGGGGATTTTCAGAGCTTTCGGGTTTGTCAGTTTGGGTGTTCAAGGTTTTGGATCAGAGTGTTGCGGTTTTGAGCTGAACACGTCTAGTATAGCATTCGGCATATCTTTCCGTCGCCATACTCTGGGTACCCATGGGAACGGGCACAATCAAGGCTCGGCAGAGTAACAACGATAGGCATGATCAATACGAGAAGGAAGGGCGGCAGTTGTCCTGCATGAACATGTTGGCCATGTGTGTTGCGAGAAAACAGAAGATGATGATGATCGTGGTCATTAAACTGATTTGCATAATGGTCCCAACATTGGTCCCAAATTCAAAGAGGATAATGTTCGGGTTTTCGGTTTGGGTTACAGCGATCAGAGCTAGGATCGTAGGCATGAGCGTTTGAATGGACCAAGTTGAACAGCTCTTGGAAAGGATGGTTAGTGCAATCTACCGCAATTTTTCATGCGAGGCTCCCTCCAGCCGCCGGCTGTTGGCGGTGCCCTTCGTGGCGAAGGATTGCCTTTGGGGTTTAGGGTTGCGCGGCTTTTGAGTTTGAGGAGTTGCGGTCTTGGGCATCAATGCCCAAACATTGGGCCATTAGGATTAGGTGTTTCTTCATTTGTGCATGGTTGCTCTCATTGGGCAGAGCAGTATATCCAGTAGTTGTAAAGGCAACAGCAGATAGCTAGGGTGAAAAGTCGTACCCAAGACTTGACTTGCAGTCGTCGTCACCAGCATCGTGGAAATTGCGTCATTGTCGTCGTCGTTGCCGTTGTCAGCCTCATCCTGTCCACGACAGCATCAAAGTGTTCACCAGGTCCTCCTCATCATGGGGACCTTGACCAGATCATTGAGAACAAAAGCAAATGATTAGTTCATATTCTTCGGCGCCAACATCCCAACTACAAGTACTTGCGAAAACCTGACATTGGGATTCGGGTCTCGGAATTCTAACCCATAATTCACACACCAGACCGTTCGATGGTCCCTAAACCCTAAACCCTAAACCCTAAACCCTAAGCCGATAAAGCTATGAAGTGCTGACCCAGGGCACCCAGGCCCCAGCTTGGCATCTTATCATCGACTGTGACGGCTAAAGCCTTTAATGCCTTAAATCCTTGCAGGGTTTAGGGTTTAGGGTTTAGGGTTTAGGGTTTAGGGTTTGGGGTTTATGGCCAACTAGAAACCTACACAACTGCAATGTTTCCTATAAATACAAACAAGACTGCCAATTCTCCGAAGCTGGTGAGGACAAGCCCAGCCCCGCCGCGGAGTTTGCGCAGCCGGACGTGTGGCGCGGCAAGTCAATAGCGGTGCTTGTTTTCTTGGAAGTGGAGGGGGGGGGTATAGGTTTACCTGTTTTTGTTGTTCGGTAGCGGGGGTGGGCCGTTGCTGCGATGCACTCAGGCCCCCAAACCTCTGACCATAATCTAGGGGCCTAAATACTAACGTATACTATTTTGGGGGTTCCGTATTAAAACTATAGTATAATCTACCCCCAAAACTCTATTCCAATTACTAAGGCCCCTGCATTACATCCATCTCAGCGCCTCCCGGACCCCAAGCTCGGTCGGCAAGTTTCACAGGGATCCCCAGATAGCCCAATAACCCTTAATTAAGGAATATACCTTAAATTATAATATGAAGGCCCCCTATAATTTAAGGTATACTCCTTATTTAAGGGGTATTGGGCTCTCTGGATCTGTCCGAAGCCTCCAAGGCTGATCGGCTTCACCGTGCCCGGATGCCCAGCATGTGGGTGTCAGAGAGTAGAAAGCAGTGGTTTTGAAATCCTGACCCTTAATCCCCCCCCAGAACCCTATCGCCGTTCGGGAATCCTCGAGGACGTCGCTTTGGCTGTCGAGACTACTTCGAGAGTACATAAAGGATCCAAGGGGACTGAGTGATCAGGATTACGAGTATATACCTCGTTTAGGCTTATCGGTAAGCATAGCTATGGCTATGATCTTAGGGTTTAGGCTCTCGGGTTTAGGGGGTTAGTGTTTAGAGTCCATGGTTCAAGGGTTAGGTGCTTGGTTTTGGCGTGTCGTTGCAGGCTTACAAAGGGGCTTCGAAAAGGCTCTATAAGGGTACTCTTCGGGTTCTATAGGGTCTGTAGGGGTTCTACGTTTTTCGGGATTTAGGGGTTTGGGTGCGACCAAGAATGAAGAAGTTGATGAGCTACGATGTTCATGAAGCTACTCACAAAATCGTAGCTTGGGGTTTCGGATGAGGCTCGCCGGTTCCAGACAGCATGCCATCACGATGCATCAGCAGACTAAATTTCAGGAAAGGCGTCAGCGAGACAGGTCTTGCAAGCCTCAACGTCGTCAAGGTCTGCGTGGTGTGTTGATGCCTGTAGGCAGGGCAGAGGTTTGAGGTCTCTCCAGGTTTGCTGGTCGGTGAGGGGTCGTTCAGGCTTGGAGCTCAGAAGTGCAACTTCTGGAGTCATCTGTACTTGGAGGATCATGGGACTTAGTAACTAGGGTTATATCAATTAGGCTACTTATAACCTTACTTACTAAGTCCCATGATCGTCCAAGTAGTCTCTGCCTAGGACACGGTGGACCGGTGGATTTGGGCTCAAGCTGCCCCTGCTTCTGCCCGAGATCGCAAACTCTTCGACCAGCCACAGTGATGCGAGAAGTGAAGTATGCGAGAAAGAAAAGGGGGAGGCTGAGTGGCCGATGGAAGGGTCTGGTTATGGGTCCGATACTGTTATGCTGTGTTAGGCCCCACATCAGCCTAGAAGGTCTTGCAACTGCTGTGCCCGGGGTACACCGCACCCTAGCTGCCAATCTGGGCGACACATTGCAGGAAATCCAAAGCAAGAACACAGACTTGCGAAAGGAGCTGAAGACGACTCCATGGCCAAAGCTGAATTACTTTTCGGCAAACGGACGTACTTACAGCCTGCCTCTGCGAGCCGAGAGCAAAGAGCCGTCACATCGGCCGGCGAAAGCCAGGCTGGAGTACTTGGCGGGCTTCTTCGACGGGGATGGCTGCGTTAGTTGTCTGACGAATCTGTCCGGATGCCAGTTGGTGGTGGGACAGTCATACGACCAGGCGGAAGTTCTCATGCTCTTCCGGGAGGCATTCGGTGGGAGTATCGGGAGCGAACGCGATGGCATGGGTTTAAGAAAGCCAACGCTTCGGTGGCGGGCATGCGGCCACTCGGCCCGAAGGGCAGCTGAGCTGCTTGCACCACACAGCATCACCAAGCAGCCGCAGCTCTTGCTAGCCGCCCAGTGGCCGGAGACAAAGTCAGAAAGAGAGGACTGCAAGGCCAAGCTGCAAGCGCTTAAGAAACACGATTCAGCGGTTGCTGGGCCGTGCAGCTGGAGCTACTTTGCCGGCTTCTTCGATGCAGGGGGTTGCATCTACCAACCTACGGGAGGAGCAACGCAGCAACTGATAGTTGAGCATAAACATCCCCGAGTGCTTTGGAGTCTTCGTGATTTGTTCAATACATCAGGCATAGGTGCAACACTTAGGAAATCCAGAGGGGCACACGTACTTGGGGTCAGCGGCTTGTCCAACTGCAAGCAGATACTTCAGCACCTCTTGGACGCCGGATTGCTTTGCAAAGCGAAGCAGGCGCATGTCGCTTTGAGCCTGACGCCAGAGAATGTGGCTGAAGTCCGCGCTGCGCTTGCAGGCCTCACTGGGAATCAAATGTTTGGGAAGAGATTGGGCGCTGCAGGCCAAGAACGGGCGAGGAACATAGCTGCAGCACGGAAGCAGGCTGTTCACTTGAGGAGCCAACGACGTTTGGACGCGGAAGCTGACGCCAAGCTGCGCGAGGTGCAGCGCAACGTTGCGAAGCTCATGCAGGACCACGAGCTCCTCAAAGCCCGTGACGAGAACCAGCAGCTGCTTAAGTACACTGAGTACGTATGCAAGCTGCACGAAAGTTCGTGAAAAAAGGGCCGCTTCTTCCGAGTCTGTGACGAAACGGCCGAAAGAAGTCATCTTCCCAGAGAGCCCAATACCCCTTAAAAAAGGAATATACTTTAACCTATAGGGACCTTGATATTATGATTTAAGGTATATTCCCTAATTAAGGGGTATTGGGCTCTCTGGGTTCTAGAGCGCGGCTTTAGAGGCGAAGCCATCTTCGGGGTTCCTTTACGGTTACAAAACAAGCTCAGAGAAAGACTTTATTATTCCTGTTAAGGGGGTGCCTTATAAGGCTAGTATGAGGGGCTGCTAGAAGGGGTATGTAGAAGGTTTCAGCTGTAGCTGCTTATGATAGCACTGCCTCACCACGTTTTAATTCCAGATGTTCCATTTCTGCTGTCTTCATGTGTGAACAGGGTCTTTCAGGATTGCAATCAGCATTTGAGTGCTGGTCTTCGGGGTTCTTGGCACGGTAGATGCCTAATGTAGGAACCCGATTAAGAAACCCTGGTCCTATAACTACACCAAAACAGTAGGATCCATGTAAAGAAGAACCCCAACAAGACCCAGCTTTCTTAATCAGGTTCTTAACCCTGGTCATATAACCCGACCAAACAGTAGGATCCATATAAAGAACCCCAACAAGACCCAGCTTTCTTAATCAGGCTCTTAGACTCGCCCCCATCGAACCAGCAGCATGGAACTAGATGTGGTGCTGCGTACTTCTCCTTTACCGACCCCGATCGGCAGGTTGGCATACCGCTACGAAGGCCTCCGTCTGTCGGACACTGTCCAGATGCTGCACCACCTGCAGATGAAGTCTGGAAGGGCGCCTGGGATTTGCCTTTATGGTGTTGGTCGAGATACTCATAAAACCCTAAACCCTAAAGTGCCAGAAGAACAGACAGCTGACACTCACATGTCACACATATGTACCTTGAGGCCCCGAAAGCCCTCAACTCTAAACCCCGACTAAAGCCCACAAGCTGTGTTAAGGGTTTCATGAAAGTATATCTGCCTCGGTGTCTCGCTTTGGCATTAGGGAAGATGCGCATCTCTTCATGCTTGACGGCTCTTACAGGAGGCCTCAAGGCTCTCGTGTTGGAGATCCCTCACGGACGCCTGTAAGAAAGCTTAGAAGAACTCTGCTTATAGGACCTATAGCTAGCAGATGGGGCCGCGATTTCGCTTTCGTGCGTGATCCTCCAGCCTTGGGCTGAGAGTTTGGAGATTTCATTTTGGTGATCTTACGCCGAACCTTACCCTAAGGGTCCATGTACCCAAATAGCATATACTTTGGCCTTAAAGTAGTCCCTATACAGGTACTCTGGGGCCAAAGTATATACTATTTGGGTACATGGACCCTTAGGGTTAGCTCCAAGCCCTAACTTCCATACCCTACCCCTAGTCTTGGCTGTTGTTCCTTGTTTGGTTCAGCCAATATCTTGTAAATAGGATCCTATAAGGTAACCCCACAAAGGAGCTACAATGGAGACTGTAGGTAAGCCCCATAAACCCTAAGACCTAAACCCCAAACCTCAAATCCTAAGCCCTGAACCCCTAAACGAAACCCCAAATCCGCAACCCTAAGCCCCATTAACCCTAGAAACCTCAAATCCGCCACCCCACCTGAGGAGTCGGGGCCCTGGAGCTCGCGTCCCACCTGCGTGCTCTTCGAGCGCTGGAAGGCCCGGGTTGGCTTAGGGGCCCCTTTTTAGTGCTGTAGGGCTTTGGGTTCAGGGCTCTTAGGGTTGGCGTAGGGGGCTCTTTTTGGGGGTTTAGGGTCGTCGAGGGCTTAAGGTTTAGGGCTCCTCGGGTTTATAATAATAGTTTTCTTGGGTTTAGGGTCGTTGAGGGCTTCGGGTTTAGGGTTCTTAGGGCTCTTGAGGTTTATAAGCCCGAAGCCCTATAGGGCTTGGGGTGCTTGGGGCCCCTCGATGGGGGTTGCAGACGTTTGGCTGAAGGGTTTCTAAGCAGGTTGTGTGCTTATATATATATATATATATAGATGTATATATATATATATATAGATGTATAATATGTATGTATATATGTATTACATCTAGATAGGATTGATAGGGGTTCGGGCTCTTTTGTTGGTAGTTTTGGGTTCGACAAGGCGTCTGTCAGGATCGCTATTAGGGTTTATACGGGGTTTGTTGGTTTCTGAGTGAGGTTCATACATAGGAGTTCTGTCGGCTTCAACCGGTTCATTACACTTACGTCTTACCGGGCTTAGAGCTTGCTTTACAGTGGTTTTTTGGCTTGTAGACTCTTAGACTTGGGGCTTGAGGCCAACACCTGCAGGGCGTAGGGTAGGAGAATGGGGCTTCGGATCGGAGGGTGGGGTTTGTGTTCTTTGCATCTTGGGCGGTTGCGAAGTTTGGATAGAACTGCGATTTGTGGGTTCAGCCCTAAACCCTAAGCCCTATTACTGTAGATGCGTTTATGATCTTTGGTTCAGCGGCCAGGGCTAGGGCTTTGAGGCGGGAGAGGCCCACGGGAGGTGCGAAGGGAAAGATCAGATTCATGGTGCCCTCTCTGTACAGAGCCTGCGGAGAGTTAGAGCGAGCCGTGGTCCCAAACTTCGAACGCTTTACCGAACATGCCGAGAACACTGAACCGTTACCTGTTGACCTCAAACCCTTCCAAGGCTAAACCTTAGCACCGAAAGCCGTAGACCGTAGCACCCCAAACCGTCCCAAAGCTTGAACCCTGAAGCCCCAGCTTAGCTGAAGTTCCAAAGCGTCTCCTGGCGGAGGGTTTGGGCGGCAAGCGCTACGAGGAGAAGGGTGGAAAGTCCTCTGCTGGAGGCGCGTGCCCAATACCCCTTAAATACTGGATAGACCTTAAATTATAGGAGCCGTAATATTATGATTTAAGGTACATTCCTTAAGTAAGGGGTATTGGGCTCTAAACCCTAAACCCAAAACCCAAAACCCTAAACCCTAAATCCTAAATCCTAAACCCTAAACCCTAATTCGGGTTCAGGGTTTTCGGGCTTGGGATGTATAGGGTTTGGAGACTCGGGTTCATGGTCCATAGGCCTAGCGCCTCCAGGGCCTTCATGGCTCGAAGAGCTCGCAACCTCATTTTGGGGGCATAATTAGAAAGGGTTTGGGGGGGTAAATAAATAAATAAATAAATAAATAAATGATATATATATATAAATATGCCATATGTATATATATATATATATATACATAATATGCTGTTATTATAATAAGGACCTCCCCCAAAAAAACAAATAGTATAGGTAAATATCAAGGCCCCTATATTAGAGCCCTAGAGAGCTGAAGCTGGAAGGTTGCTGGCAAGTTCTGATCTTCAAAGTAGACACTCCCTAGCTGTGACCCCAAACCCTACGAAATAGTAGGCTCTGACCCTTCAATTAGAGGGTAGAGCCCTTGAAACGGTAGGGTTTTGGATCCCCAGGTAAAGCCCGAAGATATGAAGCCCTGCATCCCCAAACCCCAACTCGTCACCCCAAACCCCAAACTCGTCATCCCAAACTCAGAGGTTTAGGGTTTAGGGTAAAAAGGCACCCTGTGCGAACCTGCAAAGATAGCTTTTTTCATCACCAAATCCCGACAGGAGTTCATCCCCGGCTCTCAGCAGCCATGAATTTCAGGAGCCAAAAAAACCACCCAAACATAAACTCCCTAAACCCTAAACCCTAAACCCTAAACTCTTTTGGGTGGTTCTGGAGTACCTAGTAGTTTGGGGAAGCTCGCTTGCATGCACACGTTGAGGTTTAGGGTCTATTTCAGGGCTCAGGGGTATGGTTGCCACTTTGCGGTCTTTGGTGCAGGGCTAGGTACTTGTAGGTGGTCTGTCGAGTTTCTACAGTATAGAGTCTTCGCAAGGTCATGTCGTACGGTTTGCACATGGCCTCAGAATCGTACGTCAAAGTCTTGATGCTCGGAAATCATGACACAGCACCTTCATTTGGACGACAGGACTTGGCTTGGATGTTGTACGCACAATTTGAGTTTCCAGCTTTTGTGCTTCAAGGGTACGCATGCGTTTGGGTCAACCCTGCTGATGGTTTTTAGGGTGATGTCGATTATCATTTTGAGGCAGCCCTGCGGAAGCAGACCCCCAAAGAGCACACTACACAACAACAGAAGGGCTGCGAGACCTGGCGTCTGGCAAAAAAAAGATAAATACCCCTGTGACAAAAACAAACCCTGAGGGTCCACGTAGCCATAAGGCCAAAGTGTATACTGTATACTGTATATTATACTACATGAGCACATGGACCCTCAGGGAAACAACAGTTTCAGTAAGTGTTATTCACTTTGATCGGTGCCCTCGACCGCAGGCCTAGAGCCTCTGGAGTGGGAGGTGCACCTGGACGACGAGTGTCTGGGTACTGGAGTTATATGGTTTTAGGGCGGCAGCGTCGGAGCTTTAGGCCTCTACGGTTGGGTTAAGGATTCACGGAGGAGTTCGGAGTTCAAGGTTTTATGGTTTATGGCCGGTTTGGTATCTATGTTGAGGTTTTGTTCCTCGTGCCACATTCAAGCGGTATTCTAGTTTTTTCCCACGGTTATAGGTTTCAGAAGTATGCTTTGTTGCGGATGGCTGCAGAGAGATACTTATGTGCCTTGAGTTTCGTTCTTCTTACTCTCAGTGGTGCAGGTTTCAATGGTCGGCCATACTCGTCGCTGCTTGCTGTTACACAAGCCCCAACCCGAACCTATGAGCCCGTAACCCTAGACCCGAAAGCCCTAAACACCCTGAGCTATGAGAACCTTAAGCCCTAAACCTTGTACAGTCACTTCGAAAGTCAACAAAATCCACTTTGAACAAACACATTTTCAATTACTTATTTTTAGCAGTGGAGTAGGTAGCCAAGTTTTTAACATTTTGGGGTACCCTAAACCCTAAACCCTAAACCCCTTACCCTTGTAAGCCCTAAACCCTAAAGCCTAAAGCCCTAATCCATGTAAACCCTAAACCTCTAAATAAACCCCAAACCAAACGCTAAACCCTTAACCCTTAAACCCTAAACCCTGAACCCCTATACAATCCTAACAGCTAGCCTTGAGCTCCCGAAAGGATACTGGAGAAGTAAGAATAAAAACCTCAGATCCCAGGTGGAAGAAGCTGCCCAAATCCATCACCGCAGCCTGGCAGGTTAAGCGTTCAAGAGTTTTGGGCTTAGGGGTATTAGGGTTTATAGGGGTATTAGGGTTTATAGGGGTTTAGGGTTTATAGGAGTATTAGGGTTTGTAGGGTATTGGGGTTTAGGGGTATTCGGGTTTTTACAGGGGTATGGGGGTCTAGCGTTTAGGGTAGATTGCGGATTGCGCTTGGAAGGATTACGCAGAGCAGTTTTCACGCCGGGCTTGAAACTAAACCTTAAAGCCTAAACCCTAAAACCCTAAATTAGACTTAACTTGAAACCTCAAGCCAAGCCCCGAAAAGCCTCCAAGTCCAAAATCTAAAGACTTGAAGCCTTGAAAACCAAGACCTTACAAGTTGAGGCTCTGAACTCCGGCGCAGAAACCTTGACGCTTCCTTTCTTTCTCACTTAAAGCGTTAAGACCAAGGGTTCTAGTCTAAATCCTAAACCCTAAACCCCTAAACCCTAAACCCTAATCCTCCAATCCCGGAGTGCATCTCAGGCGAAGCTTCAGGAGGCTGTTGCCTTGAAGCAGACCAAGATACGTTTCAAAGGCCGGCAACAGTCCATGTGTGTGGTTTTGGGGTTGGAGTTTATGGGGGTTTAAAGATTTTGGATTTGTAAGAGTCAGAGTGTAAGAGGACCTGGGCTGATTCAAGGTCGTAGAAGTCAGTCAACAGTGAAATGGCTCAGAAAGAGGAACCCGAGCCTTCATTCATAAAGGGTTTACGGTGTAGGGTTACCTTTCTCACTGCAGGGTAGGATGCCCGGAATTGCAGTATAAAGCTACACCTACCTCCCTCGAATCCTTTTGTTTGTGCCTTGCTCAGATAATCCATCCGGACCTAAAGCAGCAGTGTAAGTCGTAGATTGCGCCAGCGGCTTTGCGCAAGGCTTCGGTGCACAGCCGTACGAGATCGACCTGGACCCTTGTCGAGCGAGTTTGGGAGTTTCAGAAAATTAGGGTACCTTATTTGGGGGTCCTTATAATAGGGATCCTATTATATTTAGGGTACTATATTAGGGTCCCCTATTTTCGGAACTCCCCATTTGGTGGTTCAGGAAGCGCGCTTAGGCTTCTGTGCTGAGGTGGGCGTGCGAGCATACGGGTGGTGTACGATTTGTATAGACCAAAACCCTAAGCCGAGCTTTTGGATTTTGTGCTTGTGTTTGGCAATGAAAGCCTGAATGTGGAAGCCTGCTAGGAATATCAGTACTCTTAACGAGGTTCTATGCAAGTTCGCTGATAATTCGGACTGGCGCAAAATCACACTTGCAATGAGCTATGAACTGCAGGTGTTTTTCAACAGCCACTAATCGCCAGCGTCGTCATCAGGAACCCCAACAACAGAACTGCGCGAGTTGAACTCGAGTAGTAGAACGACGCAGGATGTCGTATTCATTGCTATTGAGATATTTTTCACCCTCCACCCTGAACCCCAATTCGCCAACCGTGACATTGTAGCCAAGGAAGCAATGATCCAAGTGAATTTGAAGTCACACAAAAAGCGCGACATCCGACAAGTGGAGTCTTCCGCGAAGAGGTGCTCCCATGTGGATCCATAGGGCGGGGTTGCAGCCTAAACCGTTTCAGGTTGTTTGGGTTCCAAAATGCAGGGTGCAGGTTTGGGTTCAGGGTTCATTGTTGGTTCCAGGGCTTTGGGTGATGAGCTTCAGGTTTCACGAGTTCAATACTCCTGACATGGGAACAGTGCCTCATGTACTTGGTGGTCGACTAAGTAACCAGGCTTCAACAGTATTCTGGGGCTGGTACAACTTGCGTAGAATCCCAAATCTTAATCTTTCGCAGGATGGAGGAACGGTGTCTTTGTTCTCGTCTTTATTCGTCTTCGCCAACATGGCCTGCAGAAGCGAGGCGACTTTATCCTCGGTTCTAAGCCGCAAATTATGACAATGGGAGGGTCTTGCTTTGCCTTCACAACACAAGATGTCTTTCATTCTGCAATAGTGAAAGGAAGCTAGGGGACCCTAAACTACTGACTGAAACATGACCATTAAACACTACACCCCACACCCTAAACCCTAAACCACTACACTTTTACAGAACCCCCTTAACCAATAAAAGGCTCTCAAAAAAACCTAAACCAATAAAAAGCTTTTAAAAAAACCTAAACCAATAAGCGCCCTCAGGGGTGATGACTTGAAGCTGCCGGAGCTGCAAGCACTGTCCTCCTCGACTGGTGACGAGGCTTTCAGTTTTGGGGTTTCATGTAGGGGCCTTTAGAATTACCTATGTTATTTTTTTTTGGGTGGGGTTCCTTATTATATTTATAAAATGATATATCCCCAAGTCTTATTCTAATTATTAAGGCCCCTACATTGCGGTGGGGTTTAGGGCCTGCGATAAAGATACTTTCCCTACGGCTTTACAGGTATGGCTGTTGTCATAACCACCAATACCATTGATACTCATACTGCTTGCTGGCGCTGTCTTCGACGACGGCTACTACGTACTGGTACGACTACCACTACTACTTCTTCTTCTCCTACTACTACTACTACTACTACTACTAATACTACTACCACTACCACT